GGATAAGAGCATCTGCTAAATGCCGTAAATGTGAACTACGTTGGGACAGTTTAACGTCTGCTGTCCCTTTATCAACGGCTTAGATGCTGTTGGTTAAAAAGGAGTTGAGAGTCAAAGTCGGGTCCAGTAAACTCAGAGTTGCGCATCACTAATGCTGCGTTCACATGTTTGCAGTAGAGACGATGGCAAACCGGATGTTTCATTGTTTTCATCAGAGCTGTGACGGAAAATTTGGCCAACGCAAGCGACAGCATTCTGCATAGCAGTGACCGGAATGTGCCGACAAGTGTTTTAATTTTCCAACTTTTGCTGTGGACCGCAGCGGTGGAAGAAAATTTCTTGATTTTTTTTGCGAGCCAGGGTTGGAAAACATCTCATTGTTGAATTCCAGATGAACTCAGTATGATACAAAAACAAATAAAAGAGTGCAGCGCACCTCCTGCCTTTCTCCACCTTCAATTAACACTCGCACTGAGAAAGCTCTCCTTTGATAATTAGGCATTTTCGCTGGTAATGTGGTCACCATGACAACATTTGATTTGCAGAATGCAAATCAGAAAGTTTTTTCAATGTAAACATGTGAACACAGCATAAGTTGGACTACTGGAACCGGAACTGAAACTGCCCTCTTTCGCACTTGTGTGCAATTCAAAAATGCACCTCAAGTTGAATGAAAAACACGTCTGTTCGAATATCATGTGTTTATTGTGAAATTAACTTCAATGATAGCTCTGGTCAAAAGTTTATGTATTTGTCTTTTAACAGTTGAACGTTCCTAATTCGTTACTAATGAATTAAGTATAGCAGGTGTGTAACTGATATCTTTCACACCGAACACGATTTTTCAGTCAGCAAAAATGCAACATTATCCAATCTGATCTTTCCTCTGATTCATTTTTGCAAATGTTTACCTGCAACATGAACCCCCTTCACCAATCACAGCAGCCTCTGCCGTCGGCATGGCAACAACCAAGATGATGCATTAGCAGAGTCCCCGCAACTTTGCTGGGACTCCGCTAATACATCATCTTAGTTGTTGTGTTTTTGGTTGCTGTGTTTTGAACATAAGAAGAATCAGTTTGCCCTCTTCTTTGTCACAGATGACGTCAGCATCTCCAAAATGACTTCAAATCTGAAATAATACGTTTTTTGTGTGGACTGTTTTGCCTCAGCATGTATCCCTCCACCATGAATGGAGTTTAAGTTCTCAAAACTATCGTAAAACAGTGTCTCAGATATTAGTCAGCACATTCATAACCATTTGATGTAATAACTTTCTGTGAGGGAGCTTTTAGAGGTGGACGTCTCATTCCTGTCACCACCACTGTGAACAATTCTGACTTGGTAAGTTTCTCTAGAACGGAGCGTTTCACACCAAACCACTCTGAACCACTCTGTTCACATCTTAACCAGTTAATTATGCAGGAATTGTCAGTAAATCAGTGGAGTTCTCCTTTAAGGTTAGAGTTAGATTTAGGGTTAGGGCAATTTGTTATAGTATTGTTGCTGCGTGTGTGTGTGTGTGTGTGTGTGTGTGTGTGTGTGGTGGAATTTACTGCATGGTAGAGCACATTTCTCCTCCATAAGAGCTGTTGCTGCATTTGATTAACGATTAGATTTATCATAGCCAGAGAACAACAGAGGCATGCAAATTATATCTGCTTCACACACAGTGGTCCAGCTGCGGTGAGGGGGGGGGGCATCTGGGGGGTGTGTATTATTCATTGCTGGTGTCTCTCGACCAGTCGTACTCAAACTGGAGCATTAATATCATCAGTGATGTGTGTTTGAGTTCTGCTAAAGACACACAAATTAGCCAGTTGTAAATGTATATAAATTAGACAGCTGATTGTAGTTACTGTTATTGCACTGTATAGTGTAGTGTTGTGTTGTGTAGCAGTGTAAAGTGCAGTGTTGTGTAGCAGTGAAAAGTGTTGTGTTGTGCAGCAGTGTAAAGTGCAGTGTTGTGTTATGTAGCAGTGAAAAGTGAAGTGTTGTGTAGCGGTGTAAAGTGCCGTTTTGTGTAGCAGTGTAAAGTGCAGTGTTGTGTAGCAGTGAAAAGTGTTGTGTTATGCAGCAGTGTAAAGTGCAGTGTTGTGTTATGTAGCAGTGAAAAGTGAAGTGTTGTGTAGCAGTGTAAAGTGCCGTTTTGTGTAACAGTGTAAAGTGCAGTGTTGTGTTATGTAGCATTGTAAAGTGCAGTGTTGTGTAGCAGTGTAAAGTGCAGTGTTGTGTTGTGTAGCGGTGTATAGTGCAGTGTTGTGTTGTGTAGCAGTGTATAGTGCGGTGTTGTGTTCTGTAGCAGTGTATAGTACAGTGTTGTGTTGTGTAGCAGTGTATAGTACAGTGTTGTGTTCTGTAGCAGTGTATAGTACAGTGCTGTGTTGTGTAGCTGTGTAAAGTACTGTATTGTGTTGGGTAGCAGTGTAAAGTACTGTGTTGTGTAGCTGTGTAAAGTGTAGTGTTGTGTAGCAGTGTAAAGTACAGTGTTGTGTTGTTTAGCAGTGTAAAGTGCAGGGTTGTGTTGTGTAGCAGTGTAAAGTGCAGGGTTGTGTTGTGTAGCAGTGTAAAAAGCAGGGTTGTGTTGTACTCACTGTTTTTGTTTTTGAATATATTGAGAATGGGCAGAATTTGTCTATAATACGGCACCAGAGCCTCCCCCACCAGGTCCCCTGACACCACCAGGTGCTGCAGAACCTTCAGCGTCGTGCAGATCACCTGCCTGTTTCTCGTGTTCAGAGCGTCTGAGAGAGAGAGAGAGAGAGAGAGAGAGAGAGAGAGAGGGAGAGAGATTTTCACATAATTTTCACACAAGACATAAACTGCATTAATATTACATCATGGAGGATTTTAATACTATCTAAACAAACCCACAACAATAAAAACACATTCACAACATTTATGTCATTTGTTAAAGTCTCCTCTCCGGCCTCCATTCAACATAATGAGAAACTGTACAACAGACTCAGTTTATATCACAATGCCTACATTTAGAGAGTCCACTCTCCCAACAGTAGCTAAGAAAGAACATGTTTGTGTGATGTGTGTTACAGAGAGCTGCTGGTAAGAAAAATAAAGAAATGTTGGATTTCTTTTTTAAACAATTGTGTCTGAGTGTGTGTGTTTGTATGCTTAAGTGCTTGTGTGCATGTGTGTGTGTGCGTGTTAGCATTAGTGGGTCCTCCACAGCACTCAGCCTCCGCTGATAAGAGTAATCCACTTTGTATTAAACACTCCCCCCCGAACACACACACACACACACACACACACACACTTTTAGTCTCAGTGCTGTAAATGAATTCCTGGAGTAATGATGACTGCATAATTGAGAGAGAGAGAGAGAGAGAGAGAAAGAACAAAGAAAGAGAGGGAGAGAGAAAGAGAGAGAGAAAAAGAGAGAGCAAAAGAAAGAGAAAGGGAGAGAAGGGAAAGAAAGAGAAAGAAAAAAAGAAAGAGTGAGAGAGAGAAAGAGAGGGAGAGAGGGAGAGGAGAGAGTGACAGAGCAGTGAAAGAGACAGAGAGAGAGAGCAAGTGAGAGAGAGAGGGAGGCAGAGAGAGAGGAGAATGAGGAGAGAGAGAGCAGCATCAGAAAAAATTAGATTTTTCCTTTGATAGTATAAACGTCAGCATCAAAAGTTGGAAACACTGTTTTCAATAAAAGTAAATCTAATTGCAGATAAATGTATAAAACGATTATAATCCCCCTGTCCTGAGCTCATTCAGATAATTAGTAGGAAGTTATGAAGTAATAAAAAGACTGTAGACGATTCTTAAATTACTGAAAAGGATGTAGAACGTAGAATGAAGTTCTAGTAAAATTACATAATATGCAGAGTTAAATTTTGGGCTAATTTAATATCCAGAACAGAGGTGATCAAATCTCAAGGTAAAAAAATCTGACAAAAAATCAGTTTATTTTGGTCCTCAAAACTTGACCTACTAAATAAAATGAATAAAATGCATTTTGTGTAGTTTTGAACATTTAAATATATATTATATAAGCAATTCATTGTATAAAAAATATAAAAAATTATTACTATGAGCTAAGAATACAAAATTTTGAATGGTTGTGTATTAATGACCAAAACACAGTGAAGCATTTCCCCACGAGTGACATTTAGAGCTCTGAACTGTTCAATAATTCATCTCCATCACCGGGAGGAACGTAGAGGAGGGAAAGAGAGAACGAGGGAAGGAGAAAGAGAGAGAGACAGAAAAGAAAGAGAAGAAAGCGATCTATCAGAGCCTGTAAATCTCGGGGAATAAAGTGATCATTAATTGCTGTGTGAGTGCTGTATATAAAAGAGTAAAAGCGAAGGTGCTGCAGCTTTTCGAAATGCCACAGCTGCTGACATTTAAAAGCTTTTCCTGACTGAGTTCAGTTTAAATTTCTCACAGAAACAAATCAGCGCTAATCAACATACTGAAATATGTCAGCACTATTCAACATACTGAAATATATCAGCGCTAATCAATACTGAAATATATCAGCGCTAATCAACATACTGAAATATGTCAGCACTATTCAACACTGAAATATATCAGCACTAATCAACACACCGAAATATATTAGCGCTAATCCACATTCTGAAATATATCAGCACTAATCAACATACTGAAATATGTCTGCGCTTATCAACGTACTGAAATATATCAGTGCTAATCAACACACCGAAATATATTAGCGCTAATCCACATTCTGAAATATATCAGCACTAATCCACATACTGAAATATATTTGTGCTTATCAACATACCGAAATATATCAATGCTAATCCACATACTGAAATATATCAGCACTAATCAACATACTGAAATATATCAGTGCTAATCAACATACTGAATTATATCAGCGCTTATCAACATACTGAAATATATCAGCACTTATCAACATACTGAAATATATCAATGCTAATCCACATACTGAAATATATCAGCACTAATCAACATACTGAAATATATCAGTGCTAATCAACATACTGAAATATATCAGTGCTAATCAATATACTGAAATATATCAGCACTAATCAATATACTGAAATATATCAGCACTAATTAACACTGATACATCAGCGCTAATAAACATACTGAAATATATCGGCGCTAATCAACATACTGAAATATATCAGTGCTAATCAACATACTGAAATATATCAGCGCTTATCAACATACTGAAATATATCAGCGCTTATCAACATACTGAAATATATCAGCGCTAATAAACATACTGAAATATATCAGTGCTAATCAACATACTGAAATATATCAGCGCTTATACTGAAATATATCAGCGCTAATCAACGTACTGAAATATATCAGCACTAATCAACATACTGAAATATATCTGTGCTAATCAACATACTGAAATATATCAGCGCTTATCAACATACTGAAATATATCAGCGCTTATCAACATACTGAAATATATCAGCACTAATCAACATACTGAAATATATCAGCACTAATCAACATACTGAAATATATCAGTGCTAATCAACATACTGAAATATATCAGTGCTAATCAACATACTGAAATATATCAGCGCTTATCAACATACTGAAATATATCAGTGCTAATCAATATACTGAAATATATCAGCACTAATCAATATACTGAAATATATCAGCACTAATTAACACTGATACATCAGCACTAATCAACATACTGAAATATATCAGCACTAATCAACACTGATACATCGGCGCTAATCAACATACTGAAATATATCAGTGCTAATCAACATACTGAAATATATCAGCGCTATTCAACATGCTGAAATATATCTGCGCTAATCAACATACTGAAATATATCAGCGCTTATCAACATACTGAATTATATCAGCGCTTATCAACATACTGAAATATATCAGCGCTAATCATCATACTGAAATATATCAGCGCTTATCAACACACTGAAATATATCAGCGCTAATCATCATACTGAAATATATCAGCACTAATCAACATACTGAAATATATCAGCGCTTATCAACATACTAAAATATATCAGCGCTAATTAACATACTGAAATATATCAGCGCTTATCAACATACTGAAATATATCAGCGCTAATCATCATACTGAAATATATCAGCACTAATCAACACACTGAAATATATCAGCGCTAATCAACATACTGAAATATATCAGCGCTTATCAACATACTGAAATATATCAACGCTTATCAACATACTGAAATATATCAGCGCTAATCAACATTCTGAAATATATCAGCACTAATCAACACACTGAAATATATCAGCGCTTATCACATACTGAAATATCAGCTTTCACGTACTGAAATATATCAGCGCTAATCAACGTACTGAAATATATCAGCGCTAATCAACATACTGAAATATATCAGCGCTTATCAACATACTGAAATATATCAGCGCTAATCAACATACTGAAATATATCAGCGCTAATCAACATACTGAAATATATCAGCGCTAATCAACGTACTGAAATATATCAGCGCTAATCAACATACTGAAATATATCAGCGCTAATCAACATACTGAAATATATCAGTGCTATTCAATGTATGTACATCTGCTCAAAAATCCTGCCAAAATTGAAAATGAAATGAAATACCTACATTTGCAATTTCATTTTTCACATAAGCACGAGTCATTTGTGACAAAAATAAAAATACATTTAAAACTGCTATTTGTCATTTCATTTTAGTCCTTATTGTTGGTGCCAGACAGGCTGTGTGAAAACAGAGTGCTGTCCCGGAAACAACGAGCAGTGTTTAGCACAACACCTGCGAGATGCAGCACAGCACTTTTGGAGCGACGCTGAAACCAAATACATGCTTGAAGAAATTAAGGATTTAAATATTCTTCATCTTCTAGATGATTTATGTTCATATTTTCAGCTAAAGTGACTCGATGTTTTAATAAAAAGCTGACGTTTGAGTTTTATGTTACGTTTATGTCGAGTCTTATTCTGTGAGTTTATTGGCTGGTTGTAAACTGAAATCTAATTACTGTCTGACTTATGTAGACCCCCATGAATTTCCCCATTATCTGATTACCCAAGAGAATGAAAACTCACTATACCAGTTACTGACACAATCTGATTTTCTGCAGTTATCGGATCATTAAGTGTAAACTCACTAAACCAGTTTCTGACACAATCTGATTGTCTGCAGTTATCAGATTATTAAGTGTAAACTCACTGAACCAGTTACTGACACAATCTGACTTTCTGTAGTTGATGATGAGCTAACAGTGTTATTTGATGGTTATATTGTCGCTATTATATATATATATATATATATATATATATATATGTATATAAATATTTACGTGTTCTTACTCTTTATGGGGATGATGAGCTGAGGGATGACGGGCAGGATTTTGGTTGCTCCGTGTTCCAGCATGTCATGAACTCCCTGCCGGGCGAAGAACTCGTACGGGTGAACCGTCTCACACAAACCATCAAAGAACAGCGGCAGGTAGTGATGATAGTCCAGCTTTTCAATCTCCACCTGTTCAACACACAACATTTATGTAGAGTGTGCTAACCCACAGTTCATGTTTTTATGTCTAATTTAAAATATCTATATTTCCAGGCTTTAAATCCTCCTGAATGGTTTTAAAGTTCTTAGCTGCAAGTCCAGGTGAACTCATACTTTGATTTTATTTACGATTATATTTATTACATATTTTTGATGGGTTTATTTCAAATTGTACAGGTTGCCCCTTGTAGTCTTTTAAATGTGCTTTAAAAATCAAGCTGACTGGACATTTACTCAACCGTCTGGACAAAAAAATTACATGATTTTTCTTCTCATAGGCAAGTTTATTTAAGATTCATTTAAGTCTGTGTGAATTATAGCATAAATAGCTGAGTGTATTGTTTTCATGACAGGAAACATAATATTATTGGGTAATATTATTTTGCCCTGTACACTGGTGCAGGATGACATCATCAAAAATCAGAAGACATTTTAGAGGTGGGGCTAAAGTCAACACAGTATGGGTAAACAAGGATTCAGTCTTTTAATAATGTGATATGATGAATCATGATTAATATGACCAGAGAGTAACAAGGTAATAAAGATTCAGGATGATTTTAAAGAATAATTCACAATTTTATGTTTTTGTGTTTTCGTTTACAGAATGTTCTCTCACTACAATACCCAGCATGCATTACACAAATACATCACACACCATTGGGAATCACTGTGGTGTCACCCAATCCTGACTGCTAGTCTAGTCACTGAACTACAGGCTAATAAATACAACCAAGCTAGCGGTAGTGTAGCTCCTAACTCAGCTATCACCAAATCCTGACTGCTAGCCTAGCCATTGATGGAGATTTGTGGAGAGTGTGTTGTATATCGTTCTATATAGAACCTTTTTAAAAATGGTTCCATTTGGAAACAAAAAGGGTCAAGCTTGTAACAACCAATGAACCTTTTTGGTGCTATATAGAACCATATATAACACACTCTTCATCAATCTGAAGAACCATTTCATCATGCAAAGAACCATTTAAGTTTAAAATGGTTCTAAACAGAACCCAGTGCCTTTACTAAAGAAATCTTTTTAAGAGTGCACCTTCAAGATACACAATTAGAGGGATTTTCTGACCCTTTAAACTGACCAGTTTGAGGCCTTTAGGCATGCATTTAGCATTGTGATAACTGGTAGGGTATACTACCCGGTAGCTACATTAGCCCTGTAGCTCCAGTGCTAAAGCTAAAGAAGAAACCTTCAGACACCAAACACGTCTTAGCTGATCGACTATGTTTGGGGCAAGAGGTGGGAAACTAGGGTAAACTATTGCTTTAAAATACAGTGGGGTCAGCAATGAAGCAAAGTTGGTCTGTGATCAGATGAAAGGGGCTGAAACCAGGAGTTTGTGTGCGGTGTATGTAACGAAGAAGAATCTTTTTCAAATCTTTGATTACCAACAACACCTGCATTCAGCTCAGCACACACAGCGCATCCTGCACGCTCACACTGTCCCACCTGAGCACACTCTTCATACACACTCGCATGTTCAGAGTGACAGACTGAAAGAGATCAATATGACACCTGCTTCAGTTCAGTGCTCTGTGCAGCTGCGCATAAACACTTAGAAAAAGGATAGTTCCGGTTCTAAAATCTGATTGGCTGGAAGCCATTATAAAACACACGATATACGCACATCAACCGCCTCACAACTAAACAACTAAACAATTAAAATCTGTATCATTGCGTCGGTATCACTGTGGCAAAAAATCCTTGTGCTGTTAAAGGAATAATCTTTGACTCTAAAGGCTGTCGCACACCAGATGCGCAGTGTCGCATCGCGCAGCATCCAAAAATTCAAAAACATTGTTTTTAATGGAGGTACGCACACCAGCGTTCCGTGACCCCGAGCGCTGTTCAGTTTATCGGCATGTCACACAGAATTTACCATTACTACGTTAAATTAAAGCCATAGTGAGGCCACAGAAAGACACAGTAGATCACATGTGGCTTGAAATGTACACAGAGAAATGCAGCTAGTGTTTTAGATAAACAGAGAGATGTTAACGGTAAGTTAGCTCAGCTGAAGTTATTAGCCTAGCCTTTTTCAACCCACATCTTTCAGCAAAAAAGAGAGTCTGTGTATTAAACTGATACTAAGCTTAAAGAGATGCTGAACACTTCATTTCATTCAATATATATGAGTGTAAAAATGAACTTGAACCTGCCGTTTAAAGGCTCCCTGCTGCCGTTCTACAGCAGTGCTCTGCTACATGACGCCACGCTGTGTGATGCGACTTGTCCGGTGTGCGACAGCCTTAATGCTGCTCACATGGACCACTGAGTGATTATAAAATGGATAGTTCTGGTCCTAAAATCTGATTGACTGAGCATGTACTCAGTGTACTGATGTAGTAAGAACCCGGTTCTGTTTAAACTGAAGAGCTGAAGGCTTATTTTCATAATTAGAACCAGGTTGGTCAGCTAGCTAACAGGCTAAAAGATAGCAAACATGCTAAAAAGCTCCATCATTAATATCACAGGCTTGAATTAAAGTACTTACAGTATGAATAACTGTAAAACGGCAGTATAAAAGACTAAAGAATGTCATTTGTATGTCTTACACTCTTCAAATGTCCGTGTTTCAGTCAGAAGTCACAGAATAAAAACCCAGAATGAGTCTAAAATGGTCCCGTAGTCCCTAAATAGTGCGCTAGCTATGGAGGTTTTGAAATTCTAGTGTGGATGTGTCGAGTGTGGATGTGTCTGAGTCCCAAATGACTATTTATTAGCTGTCTTTTGCACTGATGGACTGCAGGATCCAGTATTTAAAGTCCCACGTAGTGCACTATGTAGGGAGCAGGGAGCCGTTTGAGACTCAGCCCCAGCGTGATGAGAGGGGCGCTGTTAGCTTAGTGCTAAATAAGAAAAGGAATAATTGTTCACGTCGATTATTATTAATAACAACATGAGTATCATATTTTATGTTTGCCACCGTTTTATAAAAGCAATAAGCCACTTGATGCCATGCATTACAGTGATTTCATCACAGGGAAGGGGGTTTTACTTAACTTCACATTGTGCCTAAGAACACCTTTCCCCTGATGAAATCACACTACGCAAGGCCTCAAGTGGCTTATTGCTTTATTCTGTTACTGTGTGTGCAGTGTGATTGAGCGTATTAGAGACCAAACATATTGTAACATATATAAAATCAGTTATTGGAACAAACTATTTTGGAGATCCTTGTCTTTCTTTGGACAGCTATTGATCTGGGACTGTATTACAGAAACTTTTAGTAAGTTAAGATCTGACAGGTCAACATAAGATAACAGACTCATATTACAGAAGCAAATCTGATCTTGATTTAGGTATCTTATCTTGTCTTACAGCATCTTATCTCCAGTTAGGAAATCTTAATCTACTCGACCAAAGTCAACAATCGACTGTCATGTCTGTTGCTTAGGAACCGAAGTTACAGCTGCCGTTACTGATGTAAAAAAAGGTCAAAACTAAACTAAAGTGTGATAAACTGTAAGTTGTGAATGCTGTGAGAGTGCCCCCTGCTGTTTATCAGAGTGTCGCTGCTCCCCAGTTTCAGTCTCCATTTCCCAAACGCTTTAGCCGAGCGCGCTAACGTTATTCCTCCTAATAAACAGACACACGTTCAGCTCTGTCTCCTCATTATTCACAACCATCACTGTAATATTTTATCATCAACAGTAACACACAAAGGTAATAAGAGGGACGGTGGAGATCGAGACTGCAGCGTCTGAGATTTTTAAAATGCAGAGTTAGAGAAGAAAAACATCTCTTTTACAGTATAAATAAATGTAGCGTCATTATGCATTATGTCTGATAGAAATTATATTAATAAGTAGTAATCTGATGCATGTCAGTGTGTTTGTTTAAATATTTCCTGCCCAGTATTAACTGTAATCATCAAACACCTGCTTTATCTAATCAGTACTTCATTATGTTAAATCAGGCGCTGCTGATGGAATTTAATAAATCTGTGTGAGGAGAAATCTGGAACGTCAAACTAGCTCACAAGATATTCACTGCTCTTTTACCAAAAGCACATATAAATTCTTGTTACCTTTAACTGCATTTGTGTTTATTTGCATTTATTCTAATGATGTATGTAGATTTTATAAGCAAAGTCAAGATAAAGGGTTTTAAACAGTGCCTCTCTCTCTCTCTCTTTCTGTCTCTCTCTCTCTCTTTCTTTCTGTCTCTCTCTCTCTCTCTCTCTCTCTCAGAGCTGATTGCTTTGAGCCAATTTGTGGGTAACCTTGACCTTTCTGCCTCGGTCAAGATCAACTCAGAAACACACACACACACACACACACACACTGTAACGGCTCCACATAATTCAGCTTTAATCATCTCTCCTCATTAAACTCAGCATCAGTAAATCAGCTCTACTGAGCTCAGCGTAGCTGCACACAGCAGCCTAATGCTCACTTTATAGTCTGAATACAGGATAATATACATAATTTCATCACAATACTTCAAGAAAACATCACAATATGCATCACAATATTCATGTTTCTGATGTGTGATAAGCTGGTGCGGCTCTGACTGCTCTGTTCATCATCAAACTCTTTCAGCGCTGACTGTGTCCACAGACCTCTCAGAAAACCACACTGATACCAGATAATGATCAGTACTGTCATACTGCACATCTTTACTTTAAACCCTGAGAAACGGACTTACTGCTGTACATGAATTAATATGAATATATATTATAAGCACAGTAATTTAAATATATAATCGTAGCTAACACTAACTCTGCTAACAAAAAAATAGCTAACACTGGCTGACTCTACTAACTAAAATAGCTAACACTAGCTAACTACTAACTAAAATAGCTAACACGAGCTAACTACTAACTAAAATAGCTAACACGAGCTAACTACTAACTAAAAACAGGTAATACTCGCTAACTCTGCTAAATGATAAAAAGCTAATATTACCTAACTCTACTAACTATAAACAGTTAACCCTAGCTAACTCTGTTAACTGA